CTTTTGGTGGGGCCCGCAGATCATCTGTTACGAATCCGAGCGGGCCATCGGATTCTTGTAACAGTCGTTACATGTGTGTCCTGAGGGACGCATATGGCAGAAACCTCCAGTGGAAGCCTCGCCTGCGAATGAATGGCGAGGAACTCTCGAAAGGAACCCCCCTCCCTGCGGGGACCGCGTATCATGTGCTACGAATCCGAGCGAACCCTCGGAATCCTGTAACTGTCGTCACATTTGGGTTCCTGAAGGACGAGTATTGCGGACGTCGCCAGCAGAAACCTGTGAGTGAACGGCGAGTAAGTCTCGAACGGGGGTCCCCTCCCTGTGGGGCCCGCAGATCATGTGTTACGGCTCCGAGCGGGCCATCGAATTTCCTGTAATCGTGTCGTCGTCAGGGAGATCAAAGAAACAAGGGGATCGAACAGTGTCGTAATTATGTCGAAGGGAAACCCGTTCCCTTTGTCACTTTCTCTTGGGGGGTGGGTTTCCAGCGGAGCTGGGATCCGAAAGGGGTCCCAGAGAGTGGTCCCAGGAGGGTGGGTCCCGAAGGGGTTCTGGGGGGGTCTCGGAAAGGGCCCCGTGATTCCCAACCGCGTCCTGGCCCCGGCCGTGGTCCTGGCCTCGGCTGTGGCCCCGGCCCCGGCACCGGCCCGGCCCCGGCCTTGGCCCGGCCCCGCCCCAGGCCCCAGGCCCCGCCCCAGGTCCAAGGCCCGGCCCTGGCCCCGGCCCCGGTTCTGGCCTTGGCCCTGGCCCGCCCCCGAGGAGACAGATATTTCTCCTCCTCCTCCTCTTCCTCCTCCTCCTTGTCCTCCTCCTCATCTTCTTCCTCCTCCTCCTTCTCCCATTTCTCCTCCAATTGCTCCTCTGGTATCTCCTCCAATTTCTCATCCAATTTCTCCTCGTATTTCTCTTGTTATTTCTCCTCCTCCTCCTCCTCCTCGTCCTCCTCTTCCTCCTCCTCCTGTTCCTCCTCTTCTCCTCCTCCTCATTCTCCTCCTCCCCCTCCTCCTCCTCCTCCTCCTCCTCCTCCAGCACTGGAAGAAAGAGGCAAGCGGGCAAAAAACGAGCAAGGGAACGAGGCAGCGGACAAGAAGCGAGAAGACAGGGGGGATAACTGCCGTGTCCCGTAGCACCGCGCTGAGGGCCCGCTGCTGCGGCGTGAATTACTGCCCCCCCCACAAAATTATGCACCGCGCCCCCCGGCAAGCAGACGGGGGCGAGGGACGACCAGACAGAGAGGACAGGGACGGGCGAGAGGAGCGAGAGAGACCGCGGAGCCAGGGGAGACAGGAGAGCGCGAGGAAGGAGGGACGAGGGGCACGGGAGGAGGAGGGGAAGCAGGCACGCAGCGCAGAGAGCAGAGGGGGGGGGCGCGGGGGGGAGCGGGGAATTATGTGGTCGCGGAGCGCCTTCCAGGAGCACATTACAAAGGGGGCCCGGACGGTGCGAGTGCGGCCGCGGGGCGGGCCTGCCGAGGCCTCCTCCAGGGGCGCGGCAGGCCGGCCGCGCCAGCGAGCAGCTGGGCGGCGACCCCGCGCTGCAAAGCCGCGGCGAGGCTCCGGCGCAGGTTGCCCAGCGCCTCTGCGCGCCGGACGCCGGCGGGCGCCGCGGCCTTGGCCCAGCGGCGGGGCTCTTGGCCCCAGCGCCCGCCCGTCTCGAGCGCCGCAGCCAGCAGGCCGCCTCCCAGGTAGCGCTGGTGTTTTGTGCGCTCCCGATCGGCGGCTTCTTGGCCGTCGCGCCAAGGCCTGACCGCCGCCGAAGCTCCCCGAACAGGAGCCGGTCGTCGCAAGGAAGAAGACGCCAGCCTTGCAAGGAGTCCTCGTCGCCGATGTTCCGAATGATGTGGCCAGTAACTGCCTCGCGCGCTTCGTTCACAGCGTGCGTGAGGGCCGTTGGCACCTGGGTGAGCGTGCCGCACTGGTCGGTCAGGAGGGCTTTGGTGGACAAAGCGGCTGTGCCTGTCCCCCACCACTCCATATTCTGCAGGCCCCTGTCATTGATGTCCCGCTTGTGCAGGGGCAGGCGCGCCTGGACTGCATCCCCAGCGTCTGGCGGCGGCAGCTGGGAGAGCCCTGGCGCGGGTGGCGGCGCCGCTGGTTCGCACCAGCCTGCGAGCTCCTGCTGCTACGCTGGCGATAGGGCGCCCCGCCCCTCCACATCCGCCTTCGGCCCCAAACACTGTCCGTAACACCCAGGGTGGACGAATTTTGGGCGCTGGGGGTTGTTGGAGCGGGAGAGCCGTAACTCGTCGAGCTCGAGCTCGCCGTGGCAGGTGTGGCACTTGCCGCGGTGCCCCCGGGCGCCCTGCACACTCGCCCTCCATGCAGCCATCAACGGTGCGCGGGCAACCGCGGGGTCACAATGGCGGCGGCAGCGACGACATGACCAGCCCGTGGCGGGGCAGGCGCCGGCGGGAGGGAGCGGCCGAGGGAGGGGGGAGGGCCGAGGGGGGCGCTCCCCTTGCTCCCGCTCCTCTTCCTCCTCCTCCTCCTGCTCCTCC